CAATGTTTTCAGCTGGCTAGAATAGACGTTTCAGTTGGCCAGGATGCATATATCCAGTTGGCAAGCATGCATGTTTACTTGGCTAGAATCACGTATTAATTGGCCAGAAAATATGTCTTAGGTGACTTGTTGAACACATAAAAGGGGCAGGGGAAACACTTTTGAAGCAGGTTATTTAACACATCCAGGTGGGAAAAACTTGTTTGGCATGCATCAAGTAGTTTTTGGCTTGTTTAACACATCCAGCAGTAACATCAAGTAGGCTGGTGTGATGTGCCACATTCACCTTTTTTTTGAAGCAGCTTCTCCATGGATTTTGTCCTAGATCCATGGAGAAGGGGGTTTACATATGCATACATGTATGTAGTAGAAGAAAGGGGGAAGTGAAGAGGAGCAGAGGGGCTTACCTACCTGATGTTAGTGCCTGGTATGGGCTCTGACCATCCTGCCCTTAGATCTTCTTTTTTGAAGCAGCTCCTCCTTCTACTTTGGGGCTCCCATAGCGGTTGTCTAGAAGGAGGAAGGAAGGCCTTGGATCCCTTTCGTGGAGAAGAAGAAGGGACCGTGGGGCGTGGGAGGCGCTGGATAGGTACGTGGGCGTGGGGACGCTGCGTACGTACGCTGAGGCGTGGAAGGCGCTGGAAGCGTGGGGTGCGGGCCGCTCGATAGGGTTTGGTGGCAGCCTGTCCCTGCGGGCCGCTCGATCGGGTTTTGGTGGCAGCCTGTCCCCTTCCTTTTCTGTACCGCGGGGGACAAGGCTTATCTTTTTGGGCTGGCCGCTCGATCGCGCTAGTGGTCAGTCGGCCGTCCACTAGACGCGTCCTATTATTATTCCCTAAGCCAGCTCTCCCTATGATTAAGCGCTGCTAGGTACACCATACGTGCTAGGTAATGAGTGGGATCGAATGTATGTTCTCAGCTCCAGGTTAGCTCGCTGTGCCATTTTTTCAGTGTGTAGACAAGACAGCCACGCGAACCTGCCTTATTAATTATCAGGTGACAAACTATACCCCGTTTTTCTTTCTTTTGTCGCAACAAAGCTGCATCTTGTCAATGTGAGTTGAGTATATTACTCTTACCCGATGGTCACAAGAATCTGTATTTTGCCGAAACTGATCATTGCGGCCTCAAAGGAAGCTACCCTGTTGTCAGAGCCAACATAGACTCTTTGTATCTTTCTCTCTCTCTCTCTCTCAAAAAAAAGAGCTAACATGGACACATAGTCTGCTGCTCCGTAGTGAGCCACACTGGATAACAAGACTCGTCGCGTGTGTACATGTTTGATCTTTCCCTTGTGTCATCCGAAGAAAAACTGGACGATACCGTCTACGATCTACGTGCGGATATGTCGTCACTCGGGGCCTCCACCCAACAATCCCCGGAAAGCAACGCGTCGCTCGGGTACTCGGGTTCGCATGGCACGCCACTGTACGCTGCACCTGGACCATGGCCAGCAAGCAAGATTGCGCTGCGCACCGCCGCCAGTCTTCTACGCTGCCATGCCCACTGACCCATATGCACCCGCGGCCACTCCACACGAGCCAGCGCTCGCTATCTTCCCTACCTGCCGGCCGGCCGGAGCGGCGGTCGCCTTTCCCTGCCCGCTGTACCGCCGACCCACTCACCCATCGAGGATCGGACGGCCGCGTGGCGTCAGCGTGGCGTCGCTCGCTCGGCGCCACTCGTTTGTGTTGGGCCGGCCGGTGGTAGGTGGAACCGATGGGCCGTCGCCTCGCGGGCGTCGGAGCGCGCCGGTCCCGTCCGGCCCGATCCAAACCTTGGCGAGGTAGACAGGTAGTAGTGGCGTGCGAGCATTATACAACGACGGAATTGCGCGCCCTGTCAGATGAATAGATGGTACTCTTAACATTGTTTGACTACAAGCTCATTTTCCTCGTAGACATTCCTTCTACCATCGTGGGACGATAATTTATACTGACGACGCGCACCATGCGAGATGCGACCTAGTGGTGTGCAAAAATATTCGCCACTATGCGCGGCCACTCAGGATCAAGCACAAGCTGCTCTGGATTGACTTTACAGTGTTAAAGCATCTACGGGCGCACCAGACCAAACCAGACTCAGACGTCCGGGCGAGTCTGGCATATCAGCCCGGCTCAGGCTCATCCCGACTTCACTCCGTCCTCACAAATATTTCCAATCCGGAACTCTATCTCACTCCGCTCTCGATCCGTCTTTTCTTTTTTTTGATTTCTCCGATTCGATCCACTCCGACGACTCCGGTAATTATGTCGAGCACCGAAAGCCGCTCCGACTTCGCCTCCGACGAGGAGCTAGCCCTCCACATTGCCCTCGAGAGGTCCAAGGTGGATACGGGTGGCAGTTTCGAATCGGCCGCCTCGCCTCTCCCTCGCCAGCACAACGAGGACTCTGACGCTGGCTCCTCCCAGCCCGCGCGCAGCTCCGCGAGCGGTGTGCAGTTCGTGCCTCCCGACCAGCCCGGACGCACACGCCGGAGTAGGATGCACGCGCCGCTCGCCGCGAGAGGCAATAGGCAAGGGAGAGGGACATGGCGGAGAGCACTGTCCGCCGCTGCCGTGGGTTACCGACGGAGCCCGACGGGGACAAGCGGCTCCTCGCGTGGGTCTACTGCCGGTCGCTTACAACGATGGAGACGGACGCTCAGTGGCTCCAGCGGAAGAACGTGAAGGCTCTTCGGGTTGCCATCAAGCAGCTCGAGCATGAGGCCAAGGAGAAGGCAATACAGACGGCTTGGCTGGCGAAGTTCAAGCGCCAGGAGGACCGGGCTGTCCATCGGCTCAAAGGGTTCATCATCGTCTCCTCCTCCTCCTCCAACGACGATGACGACGACGACAACGTCGAACACGGCTCCTCGTCCGATGAATGGATGATCCTCCACCACGCCAACGGCTACAGCTGCGCCGACGACTGGAAGGGGAAAGAGACAACGAGAAAGTGGTTAAGATCCGCTTTCTTCAATTTAATTTCAAGTATTAGATGTAGTTTAAAGTCGTTCATCGTTTATGTGAACTTTGATGGTCTTTTGAACATTCGTTCGTGATCTTTTGGTGAACGTATTGTACTTGCCTATGTCTGTTTTTATATCTGTTATCTATGTAATTTGATCGTTGTTTCATGGTTTAGTATGGATATTGGGAACCATATATGAGATATACGGACGTGGATGACACGACTTGAGGAGTGACTGGTTAGTGCCCAGCCCGAACGTGTCCGTGGGAGTTTGAGGGCCCTAATTTGCCTAGTCCGGCTCAACGAGATTTGCCTAATCATTTTGGTAGATGAAGTAGCGTGTGGTCACGAAGGAAGTAAGGCAACATGTTAAGTTGATAATTCCGAACATTGTAGCATCTTTTTGACGGTTGGGCTTTGAGTCGAGAACTTTTAAGAACTCTTAATATGAAAATACTCTAAAATGACGCAACGAGCGAGACCATTATGTTCCATTGTGAATGAAAGACGTGTTCGACCAACAACATCTACTCATATCCAGCTTCGTGTCATTTTTGAACACTGCAATCAGCAAGCAGCAAGCGGGGGAGAGTCAAGTCAAGTACTAGATGTTCTTAAATCGTTGTACTAGTTGTAATATGGCGATTCCAATTGTAAAGATGGCAAGATGCGGTTGTTAAGCACACTGCTTCGTGGTCCCTTCTGTTTGTGCTTACATGATTAAGTTCTTGAGGAATTCCGATGCAGAAAAATAAGAATCAAGTTTTTTTAGGCAAAAAAGAATTAGGTTTTACGTCCCGGTCGAAGCACATACTAAGTTATTTTATTTTCTAAAACAGGCCAAAAGACTTGACATTTTTATTAATTAAGAAGAGAAGACATGTCGAGCGAAGGAGCATATGCTCCCAGCTTTTGACATTTGAACACATATTTTTTTTCCCAATTTCTTTTGACATTTGAAAAGAACATTTTTGAACTGAAGGAGCATATGCTCCCAGCTTCCAGGAGCCGAATTGGATTTCCAGTGCCCTCCATCTCTCAATATTCATTGCATAAGTTTTTCTTTTACCGAAATTCCTAATTGCGCGTATTAATGTCCCACCCAGAATCTTCTGTATTATCTCAGCTCGATCGGAGGGTGCTAGATGTGCAATAACGTCAGTATTGCCATGCTGATCGGATCGGATAGGATGAGTGGGCGCATGCCACACAAACTAGTAGTGATGTATACACCACCGTAGATCATACAAACAACAAATCATTGATGGCAAGAAAGTTATACAACATCGCTCCTTTTCAAAAGGCGCCTTTTTCTTTTACAAATACAATTATAGCCCCCTCCATCCGAACTCCAAGTAAAAACGAGCGAGCAGAAACCGCTGGTAGTAGTACGTGAGACATGCCTGTCAAACGGAACCATCGCCCGAAACCGCCGATCCAGCAAACTTCAACCCCGAAAGACCAGCAAGGTTCAACATGAAAAGTTAGACCAACCCCTGGCATTTTTCGTGTCCTACTACTTCCATACACAAGAGACGATATTGCCGTGTTAAAATGCAGCCGTGACGCATGTGCCTGGGCAGGTTTGGGCGTTGGACTTTTTCCGCGGCTTGAAAGGCAAACGACCACTCCCTCATCACCAACCCCGGCGCACGAAAGCCCGACCAATGCGTGGAGCAGCATTCCGAAGGAAGAGCGGCCGCCCAACCCAAGCACAAGCAGTCGCCGATAATGGATGCGGTAGGTAAACGATGGCACAGTCAACGGACCCCAGCCGCTCTCACCCACCAACCCTGGCGAACTCGCTGCCATCCCGGCCCCACGCGTCATCCTCCACTGACCCCACTCACCAACTCCCCAACTCACCCCCGTATATTAAACCCGCCATCTTCGCTTCCTCCATTCTTCTTCAGGAGATCAAGCGAGCGCGCGCACACACGCACACGCACAAAGCAGCCGTCTCCTCCTACGCCAACTAATTTAACCAGCTTAGGTTTATCATCTTTTGTTTGCCGATCGATCGCCGTTGATCTACCACGATCGTTGAAATGGGGTCTGTGCCGGAGGAGTCGGTTGCGGCGGCGCCGGAGGTGGTGTTCCGGTCGAGGCTGCCGGACATCGAGATCCCCAACGAGCAGACGCTGCAGAGCTACTGCTTCGCCAAGATGTCCGAGGTGGGGTCCCGCCCCTGCATCATCGACGGCCAGACGGGCGCCTCCTACACCTACGCCGAGGTGGAGTCGCTGTCCCGGAAGGCGGCGGCGGGGCTCCGCCGGATGGGCGTCGGCAAGGGCGACGTCGTCATGAACCTGCTCCGCAACTGCCCCGAGTTCGCCTTCTCCTTCCTCGGCGCGGCGCGCCTGGGCGCCGCCACCACCACGGCCAACCCCTTCTACACCCCGCACGAGATCCACCGGCAGGCGGACGCGGCCGGCGCCATGCTGATCGTCACCGAGGCCTGCGCCGTGGACAAGGTGCTGGAGTACGCGGCCGGGAAGGGCCTGCCCGTGGTCACCGTCGACGGGAAGCGCGACGGGTGCGTCGAGTTCAGCGAGCTGATCGCCGGCGAGGAGCTGCCGGAGGCCGAGGAGGCCGGGATCCACCCCGACGACGTCGTCGCGCTGCCCTACTCCTCCGGCACCACCGGGCTGCCCAAGGGCGTCATGCTCACGCACCGCAGCCTCATCACCAGCGTCGCCCAGCAGGTACATACGCCATTCCTCTGCTCCGAGCTCTGTTTCCGTTTCGATCATTCACCATGCCCGGGTCAACGGAGCTCTCAGCCTGCGACAATTCCGTTCCTGTCGGCGCCGAGCCAGCGTAGCTGCTGCTGAGCTGCTCCTCACTCGCAGCAGAGCACGACAGGTGGGCCCACGCTGTACGCGTATACTGCTCGGACCCACCTGTCGGTGCCACTTAGGATATTATACTATTTTCCTCCGCGTGGTCAGAACTCTGGGTGCCAATCAAGTTGGCCGGCTGGCTCATAAATCCGGGCTATATTTTAATTGTAGTAACTATTCTTGGCATCTCGTGCTGCATGCTTTATTTAGGCTCGTAGTATAAAAAATCCGTCCACTGGTAGTAGTAGTATACGGTTCCCTGCACGCGGGCCCCACCAGGGCCAGGTGCATGCTTGAACGAGTCTAACCCACACGCCAAGATTCGTGCTGACACGATGCGTTTGGCGCCAAAGTCAGAGGTTTTCGAATTGTGCCCTGATCGCCAGTAGAACCTTTTTCCTGTTCTGATGAAATGATGATGATTTTCAGGTGGACGGGGAGAACCCGAACCTGTACTTCAGCAAGGAGGACGTGCTGCTGTGCCTGCTGCCGCTGTTCCACATCTACTCGCTCAACTCGGTGCTGCTGGCGGGGCTGCGCGCCGGGTCGGCGATGGTGATCATGCGCAAGTTCGACATCGGCGCGCTGGTGGAGCTGGTGCGCGCGCACGGCATCACGATCGCGCCCTTCGTGCCGCCCATCGTGGTGGAGATCGCCAAGAGCCCCCAGGTGACCGCCGGCGACCTCGCCTCCATCCGCATGGTCATGTCCGGCGCCGCGCCCATGGGCAAGGAGCTGCAGGACGCCTTCATGGCCAAGATCCCCAACGCCGTGCTCGGCCAGGTCTGTCCGCTTGATGATCGGGTTGCTTCTGTCTGTCCGTCGATGGCAATGAATGCCGCTGGCTGACACGAGCGGGCGTGCGTTTGGTTTCAGGGGTACGGGATGACGGAGGCCGGGCCGGTGCTGGCCATGTGCCTGGCGTTCGCCAAGGAGCCGTTCAAGGTCAAGTCCGGGTCGTGCGGCACGGTGGTGCGCAACGCGGCGCTCAAGATCGTCGACCCCGACACCGGCGCCTCCCTCGGCCGCAACCAGCCCGGCGAGATCTGCATCCGCGGGGAGCAGATCATGAAAGGTACTACCAACTCTGCACTACGTACTTTCTTGGCTTCGCGTTATGAAACAACCAGCCCACACTTGGCGGGCGTGCGTTCGGGTTGGCATGTCCGCCTTTTGGTTTGCGTGTTTGGCGCGTTGGCGGCAGCTAGCGGCGATGTGGACAAACTTGCTACTCTCGCTAGAGCACATAGGTTGCAACTACTAGTACCAATCTTGGTTGGTCCATGCCGACCAGCCGATCGATCGATTGGGCCCAACGACCACCACCAAAACCTTTTGTTTTTCCAACTCGGATGGGGACTTGGATGAGCAACCCAAGACTGCGTCTGGTTCTCACCTGAGAGCCGAAACAGCTGACCTGGTAGTTCTAAGCAGAAAATCATATGTTGCCCGTTCTATGTTAACTGTCCTCATCACAACTTCGTCAAAACAACTTCATCAAAAAAATGGACAAAAAGGAAAATAAGCTGATCTGTAGTCCTACTAGTTGCTGTCCATTGGTTACTTCGTGGAAATAAGTTGCTGTCCATTGGCTTGGTCCAAGGTCCATTCTGAATTCCCAATGATTGTTTCAGCAGGACTTCCCGTCCATTCCACTCCACGTTCTTGGGTTAGCAGCCGTAGGCGCGTGGTTGTTGGCACGACACGCTCAACTGCTGCAACCTTAGCAGACCAGTAGTAATAGTAGTATATCGTTAGCCAATGAATTAATGAATAAACAGCGACGCACGTTGCTAACAACCTGCAACATGATCATACATTCCCTACATGTTGTCTTCACACAGCTCACCGTCACCATGGCACGATTAATTCCAGAATCCAAGTTGCACTGCACATGATCGAAGATGCGACCCCCCACACTCCCAGCAGAAAAACAAAACAAAAATAAAGATGCAACCGACGTACCCCACACATGGGCAAGTAGGTACTAGTACTACTAGGCAAAGCCAAAATTTGGTGGAGGAAGGATGCTGTTAGGTGCTGGCAGACTGTGTGCGATTGTGGACTAGGACAGGGACATCAACCGCTGAGGCTGCACAAGCATCTTGGAAGAACCCATCACCACTCACCAGTATTAGTTTATCAAGTTGACAATTAAAATGCGTAGCACTGTACTAGTATATCCCTAAACTCGGAATTGACACTGCCATGACCATGACACTGGCATAGAAATGAAGTATCTTGAGATGTTGCCAGTCTACCAGGATTTTTGTTAGGTCTGCGCAACTCAACGACCCGTCGGTTGGTACTTGGCGTGCAAAAGTGGAGATCACGTCAGATCCCCATGATCAAGGAGACTGACCTTACTCACGCCGTGATTCCCGCAACTACAAAAAAGCGATTCATGTACAACTCTCTGTTAAGCTCAACCACTAATGAACCAAACCAAACGAAAAAAAAGCTATAGCTGCGCTCACAATGATTAGCATGGACGCCCAAAAGGTGCCTAGAGTAACAAAGGTAATTAACCCAAGTCTAGTAGTAGTACATCTCATTGGAACAAAGGAATAAGCTAGGATTATATTGGTGTTGTTAGGTGCCACTAGTGAGTGTTTGGTGACCCATCATGTGACCAAGAAAAGCCCCGGTTGGGTGACCAACTCCAGCTTGTAGGAGAATTAATCTGGAAAACATTTCCATCAGACATTTTCCATGAAAGAGCCACCATGTCTGACAGAACAGAACTCTTGCTGTGATCCTCCCGAGAACCTTTGCTCTACTGATCCCATGTGAGGTCTCACTTTCAGACAGATTGTATCCATGCTGCAGCAAGCAGCATCAAACGAGCACTGCCATCATGTGCTTCACGAGGTTCAGTTTCCTTGGCTAGCTGAAGCCATCGCGTGAATGCGCCTTCTGAATGTTTGAGTGCACTTGAATGATGGCAGCAGAGATGAACACCACCTGAGATGTGCAGCAGCACCATTGCCATCATGGTGTGTGCGCCTCTGCAGATGCAGTTTGGGCCGGTCAGCCAACGTTACTGCTGCCATGTGCAAACTGCAGTTGAGTTATGGTGGCTTCTGTGATGCTGTCCTGCCTTTCCGGACGGAATCTTGCTGTCCTTCCTAACAATATCGAATGATTACTTTTGCTTGCACAACCTCTTCTTGAAAATTCTTGATACGCACTGCATTTTAATTTTTAGAAAGTATACTTACGATTTCGTGACGATATCGATGGTTTCTCTCAACTAACATGCACCCGGCGTGGAATTCTGCAGGTTACCTGAACGACCCAGAGTCCACCAAAAACACCATCGACAAGGATGGATGGCTGCACACCGGAGACATCGGCCTCGTCGACGACGACGACGAGATCTTCATCGTCGACAGGCTCAAGGAGATCATCAAGTACAAGGGCTTCCAGGTGGCGCCGGCGGAGCTCGAGGCCCTCCTCATCACGCACCCGGAGATCAAGGACGCCGCCGTCGTATCGTAAGTCATTGCTTTCTCTCCCTTTTCAGTTGCACAGTTGGTACAATTGTACTAATAAAAAAAAATTCTCCTGCTGTTTGTTTTCTTTAAAACTAGAATGCTCACTTACCCCATGATTATTGTCTTTCAGACTGAAGGACGATCTTGCTGGCGAAGTCCCGGTCGCCTTCGTTATGCGGATCGAAGGCTCCGAAATCACCGAGGATGACATCAAGAAATTCGTCGCAAAGGAGGTAAATAATGCCATCCTTTCCAAGTTTCCACGTAGTCAAAGTGCCAAACACATCTCTCACATGCAGCAACAAGTCAACTAGCACTGCTATATGGTTGTACCGAAACTTCAAAACAAGTCAACTAGAAGTATATGATACTATACAACTTCAGTACACATCAGTTACTAATCATCATGTTAAGCTTAGTCGAATATTTGGATTTGCCCATGAACAACTGCTAGTACTTAGGAATCAGAACTTTTGTGGATAAAGCATTAGAGCTCATGACTAAGATGTGCACCGTGATGCAACAGGTTGTTTTCTACAAGAGGATCCACAAGGTCTTCTTCACTGACTCCATTCCCAAGAACCCTTCCGGCAAGATCCTGAGGAAGGACTTGAGAGCCAGGCTCGCCGCCGGCATCCCTAGCTAAGGGATGCGCCGTCGTCCGCTTCTCAGGCACTCAGCCAGCCAGCAGGGTGCTGTTATAGATCATGTAATATTGGTCGATCTCCACGAAGTGGTCGGAGGAGGTTGAGTTTGTTGGTTCTTCCTGCATGTGTAATGTTGATAAAAATGAAATGATATATGTAGATGCGTTGTTTTTGACAACAAGAACAAGGCTGGTTTCCAAAGGGTACAATGTATACTTCTTTTCCATCAGAGAATATCTTGTTCGAATCATATCATCTATTTTTCCTTTCATTATGTTTCGTCTCCTATATCTACTAAGACACTATGCTCCCTAGTTTTAGAAGTCTCACAGTATACATGAATTCGGTACGAATCCGACATGAGTTAAAACATTTTTTTCTTGAGATTCATGCTTCATAAGAATGTAGGTTCGCAACAATGGAGCATGCGTGCCAAAAGAATAATTTTCCTTATAACAGAAAAAATAGAAAGGAAAACAAATAGCTGAGTGACTTTTTTTTTAAAAGGAGGAAGACCCCCGGCCTCTGCATCTGGACGATGCATACAATCATTTTATTAATTACTGATACAAGACATTACAAAGTCATACAACAGTAAGACTAAAGTCATAGTCTACGCAACATCTGTCGCTACTCATATCCAGTTGATGAAGGAGCGCTGATAGTTTGGACCTAATACCAAACAGACATCACGGCCAAACCTAACATCTAAGACCCGAGGTCCCAACCAGGGCGCCTGCCGGGTATGGGCACCCACCAGTCCGGCGTGCTCCTTGATACGTCTCCATCGTATCTATAATTTTTTATTGTTTCATGTCAATATTATTCAATTTTTATATACTTTTGGCAACTTTTTATATGATTTATTTGGACTAACTTATTTATTCAATGCCCAGTGTCAGTTCCTGTTTGTTGCCTGTTTTTGTATAGCAGAAAATCCATATCAAACGAAGTCCAAACGTGATGCAACTCTACAAAGAATTATTTTGGAATATTTGTGATTTTGGGGAGTTGGAATCACCGCAAACGGAGGCCCACACGGACCACGATACACCTGGGCGCGCCCCAGGCCCCTAGCACGTGGTGGTGTATGCTGCTCACCTCGTACGTCGGTTGGAGCTCTACTTCGGGCGCAAAGAAGCTTATATCAGGAAAAAATCGTGTAAAAAGATCAGCGCGATCGGAGTTACGGGTCTTCGGGAATATAAGAAACGGTTTTCGGCTAAATCTTGGGAGCGCGAAACAGAAGAGAACAGAGAGAGAGATCCAATCTCGGAGGGGCTCTCGCCCCTCCGCCGCCATGGAGACCAAGGACCAGAGGGGGAACTCTCCTCCCATCTAGGAGGGAGGCCAAGGAAGAAGAAGAAGGAGGGGGGCTCTCTCCCCCTCGCTTCCGGTGGCGCCAGAGTGCCGTCGGGGCAACGATCGGGACGGCGATCTACATCAATAATCTTGCTACCGTCAACACCATCACCTTCCCCCATCTATATTCAGCGGTCCACTCTCCCGCAACCCGATGTGTCCTCTACTTGAACACAGTGCTTTAAGCTTCATATTATTATCCAATGATGTGTTGCCATCCTATGATGCTTGAGTAGATTTTTGTTGTCCTATGGGTTAATCGTGATCTTGGTGGTATGATTGTATATTTTATTTTGGTGTTGTCCTACTGTGCCCTCCGTTCTTGCGCAAACGTGAGGGGCCTCCGTTGTAGGGTGTTGCAATATGTTCATGGTTTGTTTATTGTCAGTGTTGCGGGGGTGACAGCAGCCTAAACGCGGATAAGTAGGTTATGGCGTATGGGGGTAAAGAGGACTTGATACTTAATGCTATGGTTGGGTTTCACGACCTTAATGATCTTTAGTAGTTGCGGATGCTTGCTAGAGTTCCAATCATAAGTGCATATGATCCAAGTAGAGAAAGTATGTTAGCTCATGCCTCTCCCTCATATAAAATTACAAGAATGATTACCGATACTTGTTATCGATTGCCTAGGGACAATTCCGCAAATCCTACCACCACTTTTCCACACTCGCTTTATTAAATTTTTGCACTTTTGTTTAAACAACACCTAACTTTTATTTTCCCATTCTTTATTATCTTGCAAACCTATCCCACAACACCTACAAAGTACTTCTAGTTTCATACTTGTTTCCGGTAAAGCAAACGTCAAGTGTGCGTAGGGTTGTATCAGTGGTCGATAGAACTTGAGGGAATATTTGTTCTGCCTTTAGCTCCTCGTTGGGTTCGACACTCTTATTTATCGAAGAAGGCTACAAACGATCTCCTATACTTGTGGGTTATCAAGACCTTTTTCTTGCGCCATTGCCGGGGAGCAATAACGTGGGGTGAATATTCTCGTGTGTGCTTGTTTGCTTTATCACTAACTGATTTTTATTTTGTGCTCTTGTTTTCTATCTCTAGTTATGGGTAGGAAATGCAAAATACCCAAAAAAATAGTTGTACCTACTAAACCAATGGTTGAAGAACCACCCAAAATATATCATACTACTGAAGCTTTCTACTTGGATCATCTTCGATCCATTTGTGCTCGTGCTGAAAATCCAACTAGCTTAGTTGAGGGAAAATCATTAGATGAGCATGCTTGTTTTGTGCGACATCGTTTATCTCAAAAAGGGGAACTTTTACAACATCAAATTAATACTATGCAATGCTATGCTTGGAATTTATGTGAATTATATGATTTTACTTGTTGTTCTGAAGACCCTAAGAAACACCTTCCCTATCAGTGTGAGTTTATTGATAATGGAATCGTATCTTCTTATGCCAAAGGTGTTTATAATTACTTTGATATTGAACAAATTGAAGAATTTGTTGCTTTTAAGGGTGCTTATGAAATGGCTTCTTTGATTGAAAAGTATGGTGCTACTCTTAATCTAATTTTTTGCTATACTTAAATATGTTGGGAACGCGGTAATTTCAAAAAAATTCCTACGATCACGCAAGATCTATCTAGGTGATGCATAGCCACGAGAGGGGAGAGTGTGTCCATGTACCCTCGTAGACCGAAAGCAGAGGCGTTTCAATAACGCGGTTGATGTAGTCGAACTTCTTCGCGACCCAATCGATCAAGTACTGAACGTACAACACCTCCGCGTTCAGCACACATTTAGCTCGATGATGTCCCTCGTGCTCTTGATCCAGTTGAGGACGAGGGTGAGTTCCGTCAGCACGACGGCGTGGCGACGGTGATGATGATGTTACCAGCGCGGGGCTTCGCCTAAGCACTACGATGGTATGATCGAGGAGTGTAACTGTGGAGGGGGCACCACACATGGTGGGGAGAGAAACTTGTGTGTTCTAGGGTGCCCCCATGCCCCCATATATAAAGGAGCAAGGGGAAGGCCAGCCGCCCCCTAGGGCGCGCCCCCAAGAGGGGAGTCCTACTAGGACTACTAGTCCTAGTAGGATTCCACCAAGAGGGCGAGAGGGGGAAGGAAGGAGAGGGAGATGGAGAAGGAAAGGGGGTGCCGCCCCCCTTCCCTAGTCCAATTCGGACCCAAGGGGAAGGGGGCGCGTGGCCTGCCCTGGTCACCCCTCTCTCTCCACCAAGGCCCAATGTGGCCCATTAGTTCCCCGGGGGGTTCCGGTAACCCCCCAGCACTCCGATTTTACCCGAAACTTTCCGGAACACTTCCGGTGTCCGAATATATCCGTCCAATATATCAATATTTATGTCTCGACCATTTCGAGACTCCTCATCACGTCCGTGATCTCATCCGAGACTCCGAACAAACTTATGTCATAAAAAACACATAACTCATAATATATATCATCATCGAACGTTAAGTGTGCGGACCCTACGGGTTCGAGAACTATGTAGACATGACCGAGACAATTCTCCGGTCAATAACCAATAGCGGAACCTGGATGCTCATATTGGCTCCTACATATTCTACGAAGATCTTTATCGGTCAAACCGCATAACAACATACGTTGTTCCCTTTGTCATCGTTATGTTACTTGCCCGAGATTCGATCGTCGGTATCATCATACCTAGTTCAATCTCGTTACCGGCAAGTCTCTTTACTCGTTCCGTAATACTTCATCCCGCAACTAACTCATTAGTCACATTCCTTGCAAGGCTCATAATGATGAGCATTATCGAGAGGGCCCAGAGATACCTCTCCGAAACACGGAGTGACAAATCCTAATCTCGATCTATGCCAACCCAAAAAACACCTTCGGAGATAGTTGTAGAGCATCTTTATAATCACCCATTTACATTGTGACGTTTGATAGCACACAAAGTGTTCCTCCGGTATTCGTGAATTACATAATCTCATAGTTTGAGGAACATGTATAAGTCATGAAGAAAGTAGTAGCAATGAAACTGTAACAATCATAATGCTAAGCTAACGGATGGGTCATGTCCATCACATCATTCTACTAATGATGTGATCCCGTTCATCAAATGACAACGCATATCTATGGTTAGGAAATATAACCATCTTTGATCAATGAGCTAGTCAAGTAGAGGCCTACTAGGGACACTTTGTTTTGTCTATGTATTCACACATGTACTAAGTTTCTGGTTAATACAATTCTAGCATGAATAATAAACATTTATCATGAAATAAGGAAATAAATAGTAACTTTATTATTGCCTCTAGGGCATATTTCCTTCGGTCTCCCACTTGCACTAGAGTCAATAATCTAGATTACAAAGTAATAATTCTAACACCCATGGAGTTTTGGTGTTGATCATGTTTTTCTCATGGAAGAGGCTTAGTCAACGGGTCTGCAACATTCAGATATGTATGTATCTTGCAAATCTCTATATCCCCTTCCGACACTTGATAACGAATGGAATTGAAGCGTCTCTTGATGTGCTTGGTTCTCTTGTGAAATCTGGATTCCTTTGCCAAGGCAATTGCACCAGTATTGCAACAAAAGATTTTCATTAGACCCGATGCACTAGGTATGACACCTAGATCGGATATGAAATCCTTCATCCAAACTCCTTCATTTGCTGCTT